AGGGAGGAGGAGAGAGAGAGAGAGAGAGAGAGAGAACAGCTCGCGATTAATGCAACACATTAGCAAGATTGTTGCGACTATATACTGGCGATCGTCTCTCTGGCCTCGAGGTCCCACGTTACATTATCTCCGGCCGTTTAAACCATCCGGGATGGTAATTCCGTGTTATTTCCCGAGGTCGAGGTCGCGGCAAACCTCTCGTCGTGCGGAAAAGGAGACCATCGACCTCCGCCGAATAAATCGTCGGGGACGGTCTCGTCGTGACGAGATGGCGCGGTAAATCATCTCTAGGTTCTCAGGATTTCAAAGGACCGTCTCTCGTTGGCTAGCATTAATGAAGACCTCCGTTCAATTTGCCGTTATTAACGCTATTATTGCATTGCGTTATCGTAAGGCGCGAACGTAAGGCGTCTTCTTTTTTTTCTTTCCTAGATGATGGAGGAAGGGATTCTCGTTATTCGTACAAATGGATATCCTCGAGTCATTTGTACGACGAGTTAGGAAGCAAGTTTTGCGATCGAGCCAATTAAATCTAAACACGATGTGTAACGATTAAACAGAGAACAAAGTCCACAACAGAGAGGCTGCATCTAGATTTAATTGTTTTTAATCTCGTCATCTCGTATATTTCTAACTTGTAATATACATACGACAATTTTCTATTTTTTCCTCATTTTTGGTATCTTACTAAAATTATTTTTCTACGTGTTTTAATGTGAAACTGCATTTCATGATAACATCACGAGATTGAAGTAGAATATTTAATGATGGATTAAATCATTTCACACATAAAAAAAACACTCTTGCCGAAATATCTAAAAATTTGATCAGATACAGGTCTGAAAATAATTTTTTCGAATTACCAAAATATTTAGATAAAACATTCAAATTGCTCGCCAGAATATAAAAAATTTTTACAATTTTTATTATCATCATGTTTAAGCATCCTGAATAATAATTTTGATGTCCCAACAAACGTTGTTATATGTATGTGCCTATTATCGAAAAGTGAGGTAATAAGCGTCATAATTTTTCGAAGAGAAACTAAATAGCTAAATTAAAAGGTGAAATTTATTAAGAGAAAAACGCAATGCGTAATCTTTCGAAATTTGGAAGTAGCCTTTCTAAACTTTTGAACATTGTCGAGCTGTCGTAATCCCGAGGCTCCGAATTTTGCAGAGGTAATCCCGCTCGTCACGTCGCGTGAGAGGCCTGACCGCTCTTGACCCTCGAGGTTGAAATCGGGACTCACCTTGCCGCGACGAGTGATCGTCGCACTATCCGCGAAGCCCTGTCTCCCCTCGTCTAATTGCCAAGGTTATCACCGACAGGAGCCCCGATGAGCCAAGGCGCTGAGCGAAACGACGAAGGACAGGTTTTCACTTTTAGTTCAGGAGGCCGGCGCCACGTCCGTATCACAGTTCCTCCACACCCGCGACGACTACTCGTAACGTGCGTACCGGATGCACATGCGATTATCTCTGTCCACTTGGATGTGCGACACGTGCACGAGCACGCGTCTCAAACAAATCTCGATGCTCCTCGTCGGCGGGGAGGAGAAGGGGAACGAGAGAAGAGGAGAGAGAAAGGAGCAGAAACAAAAGGACTCGCGATCGCGGTTCTCCTTCCGGCCGTGCGGCCGATGACGATCGATCCGCTTACGCTCTCGGAAGGATCTCCGCCGACGAGACGAGAAGAAATGAAATTTCGAGATTCTCGTGCGCGGGGATTCTCGTCTTCCGGTCCGATCAGGAGGAACGCGGGTCGCAGGCGCGGCGGAGTACACGGTAGTGGTCGCGCGTCGTCGAGGACGGTGCGACAGGTGCAGCCGCTACAGCTGGCACGGTCGTCGGCTTCATACTGAAGGGGAGAGATACACGGCGAGCACGATGCCGCCGCAGGCTGCCGCCGCACGAGCAGCTACGAGAAACTGGCTCCGCCGTCGCCCGCCGCCACCACCGCCGCCGCCCGCCGCCACCACCGCCGCC